GCTTCTCGAGTTTATGCTCAAAAGTTTCCTGAAAGAAATGATCCTAAGCCAACAGTTTTTAAGCGCTTATTACACCAATTTGAGGAAACTGGGAGGGTCAATTATAAAAAACCCATTACAAGGAAATCGGTCACTGAAGATGAAGAAAATGTTTTCGCGGTATTTGGTTGGAAAATCCCAATGTTAGTCAAAATCTAATATCCAAAAGTAATCCATTAGTCAATCAAGTATTTCCAGAATTATCAAAAAGCCCAACTTTTATCCTTATAAAATTCAGCTTTGCCAAGAACTTTATGGAAATGATTTTGAAAACCGAACTGAGTTTTGCATGTGGGTGTTAGATAAAGTGGCAGAAAATGAAAAGTTTTTCGAAAATGTGTTATTTAGTGATGAATGTACTTTTCATAACAATGGTCTCGTGAATAGATACAACTTTCATTATTATTCTGATACGAATCCGCGCGCATACAGGGTCAAAAAAAAATCAAAATAGGTGGTCAGTTAATGTGTGGGGTGGAATATTGGGCCAATATTTAATTGGACCCTATTTTTTTGAAGCAGATTTAAATGGTTTGTTGAATCAACATGTGGCTTCAATTGGATGGAGCTCCGCCTCATCATCACTGCGAAGTTCGGCAATAAATGCCAACTTTAAAAACAGGTGGATTGGCAGAAATGGGTTTCAAAATTGGCCCCCCAGATCTCCGGACTTAACTCCACTAGATTTAATTTGTGGGGTACATAAAAGGAATTGTCTACCATACGCTTCCGACAACTTCGCACGATTTGAAAACACGCATAAGAGACGCTTTTAAAACTGTAACTCCGCAAATGTTGTCCAGAGTTAGCAGTTGTTTTGAAAAAAGAATTTACAAGTGCCTGGAAATTGACGGTCAACATTTCGAGCATTTGTTATAAATATTTGCCTTTGCTTTATGTTATTGTTGATATGTTATTTAACCTTTTAATTTAAAAAAACACCAAATGGTGCACAGAACCATTATTTGGTGTATTTTGTAAAAAGGCAAAAACTTAGTTATAAACATCCTAGTATCATTCGATAGGTAATTAAAAACTGCATTTCCTGGTAAGCTAAAAAATATGGGGTTGTATTTAAATTAGTCAAGTTGGAGCTACTTAAAGTTCTTATTTGATTAGTTTAAATTTGTGGACACCCTGTATAAAATGGTAAGTTTATTGTCATTGGGATATAAAATATGATTTCTTGTTACACTACACTACGAATTACAAATCAAAATCAATTCCTGGGTTTCAGTCACTTATTGTCTCTATTTATCAATTAAAATACGTTTCGGTGTTTTCCACCATCATCAGTTTTTAAAAACTTTTAAAAGTTTGAATTGAAACACAGTCAGGAAAGTATATACTACGAATTACCTTTACATAACTTAAATAATTCTAAAGTATTTGACACATGAAAATAATATTAGATTTTGATAAACTTCGAATTATTTAAAAAACCTTTAGATTTAGACATTATAAATCTTAGTAAAACAAACACTTATTTTGCTCAGAGAATCCAAAAATGCAATAATATATAGGGTATTTCACTTTCGCCTCGGTATTGGCTACTTTGGGTATCTTCGACTTATGCGTACTTAGATACTTTATCAACACCTAGTAGGTACAGGACTTAAAATCGTCCCTTGCATTAGCTTGCTCTAAAAAAGACTCAGCAGAATTTTTGAAACTAATAGAAAAATTCAAAAGCGGTGAAGGGCTTCAGCGGTTTTTACGTAAATAAGAGCCGTTAAAACAGCGGTGGCCGGGAGGTTGTAAATCCCTACCCCGGGCGTCTCTAGCCGTCCCTTCGCTCGCCCGCCTCGGACTGACTGACTTACATTTATGCTTTATGGTTATGAAATATCTGGGCGTTCACCATGGGCGGGGAGCACGAGAGAGCAACAAGTTGTGCATGTTATTTATGCCGACAAGCGCCGCCCACCTGTCATAACCGAAGCCGTGGCTGGTCCTTCGCTGCATCGTTTATCATATCGCGCGCTTGCTCCCAAGTCCCCCTTCATATTAGCCCCACTCTTTTCATATTTCATTTTATAATATCCGGAGCCACGCCAAGTCGATACCGATTGCTCCTCGACCTTCTTGCGCGATGCTCTACCGGTTTGTGTTCGCTTTTTCCATTGTTCTCAATAACTCTGTTCTGTTTCAGACGGACTCGATGGCACCGTGGACGAAGAAGTGCCGGAGATCCTCATGTGTCCCCGATGCCAGGAGCAATTCACTGAAGTGGCCGAGTTTTTAGCCCACAAAAGTGAGTGCGACAAGAAGGCCATCAAGCATGACGATCCTGCTCACTCCGATCCCGAGGACATGGTGGTATCGGAGGACGACGAAGAGGAGGAGGAGGCCGGCGGGAAGCGAATGGAGCGGATGCGGCGTCATCGGCAGGACGCAGCGAACAACAACAGCGTGGACGAAGCTTCACCAGAGGACAACCCGATGGACTTTCCTTTCCCTGTGACTCCAGCCGCCCAAGGGCACGTCACTTTGGAAGCCTTGCAGAACACCAAGGTGGCCGTGGCGCAATTCGCTGCCACGGCTCTTGCCAATAACGTGGACAACGAAGTCGCTCTGCAAGAACTAGCCGTTCTCCAGTCAACGCTGTTCACACTGCAGCATCAGCAGGTGTTTCAGCTGCAGCTGATCAATCAACTGCAGCATCAGCTGCAAATTGACCGAACCAAAGAAGACGAGCAGAGCGGGTCGCCGGGGCCATCAGAACACGAGCGAGAAAGCTCCCCAATCGATGAGAACTCCCCAACCCCGAAGCCGGAACCCTCCCCGCCAGCAGTAGCTAGATTGACTCCAGCCACGCCACCTCATGTTCCCACACCACCACCACCCCCACTACCACTCACCCGGCCGGAGGTTACTCATCCCTCAAATCTACCTCTGCAAATGCAAGCCCCCATGTGTTCCATCTCAGCGTCGCTGGCTTCGACGATCATCACCCATGGGAACGATCCGCCCACAGCTGAAGAGCCGAACACTCTGAACCTGTTGCAGAAGCGTGCACAGGAGGTTCTGGACAATGCCAGTCAAGGTTTGCTGGCCACCAACTTGGCAGACGAACTGGCGTTTAGGAAGAGCAAAGGCTCGATGTCTCCATATGACTCCAAAGGCCGAAACGAGCCCTTTTTCAAGCATCGGTGCCGATATTGTGGCAAAGTGTTTGGCTCCGATTCGGCTTTGCAGATTCATATCCGATCGCATACGGGAGAGCGGCCGTACAAGTGCAACGTATGTGGCAGTCGCTTCACGACCAAAGGCAATCTGAAGGTGCATTTCCAAAGGCACAGCTCGAAGTTCCCTCATATCAAAATGAATCCCAATCCAGTACCGGAACATTTGGATAAGTATCATCCGCCGCTGTTGGCACAGCTGGGGCAGCAGCCCTCCTTATCGCCTGGTGGCCCTGGTCATCCTCCGCACTTGGGGTTTCCCAGTGCAGCCCCCTTCCCTCCAACGTGCCTGCCGCACTACAGGCCCACAAATCCGCCATCGGCGGACCTGCTAAATAGCAGAATCCCGCCATGTCGAACTCCTCCGCATCGGCTACTCTTCCCGCAACCATTTGCGGTTAAACGGGAGGACCAAGAAGCGCCTGCTGACTTGCGCAAGCCCCCCTCCCCCAGAGGAAGAGACCGATCGTGCTCTCCAAAGGACAGCCCCAAGAGCAGAACCGAGACGGGAACCATCGAAGCGAAGCAGCAACCTCAAGAGTCGCCAAACGCCCAGCGAATGACCCCAAAGCAAGAGCCCAACGACAATGAGAATGAGCAAGAAGCTGAGCAAGCCAGGTACGGCTCCCCAAATGGCTTCGAGCTATGCAGCAATGAGAGCCGATTCAGCAACGAGGACGCCATGGAGCGAAGAAGCCCGGATGATCGTTCCGAAATGCAGGACGAGCCGGAGAACTTGTCGAGCAAAGCGAATCTGATATCGGCCGCTTTGAGCATTGCGGCCGGACAGAGGTTGCCTGCAAATTTTCCTTTCTACCCTCAAAACTCGCCTGCCAGTAGTACCTCGTCAGGGAGCCTGGGCCAGTATCCGACTAGTGCTATTGGTGATATCACCAAAGATCCGGCCCTTTACACAAACCTGCTGCCCAGGCCTGGAAGCAACGATAATTCTTGGGAGAGCCTGATAGAAGTTTCGAAAACTTCAGAAACGATCAAGCTTCAACGGATGGTGGACAACATCGAACATATCCTAGCTGATCCAAATCAATGTGTGGTTTGCCAAAGGGTTCTATCTTGCAAAAGTGCCCTGCAAATGCATTATAGGACCCACACGGGGGAAAGGCCGTTCAAGTGCAAAATTTGCGGGCGGGCCTTCACCACAAAAGGCAACTTGAAGACTCACATGGGGGTGCACCGAGCAAAGCCCCCCATGCGCCTCCTCCATCAATGCCCGGTTTGCCATAAGAAGTACAATAACGCTTCAGTGCTGCAGCAACATATCCGCCTACATACAGGCGAGCCCACTGATCTCACACCGGAGCAAATCCAAGCGGCCGAAGTAAGAGATTATCCGTCATCGGGAGGATTTTCCAGTCTGGCAAATTCCATGAATCCGTTCCTAAGGCAGGGGTTCTCGGTGCCCGGATTATCGCCCATATCCACATCCGGGCTGCACTTTCAACTGAACGAACGGTCGGAGCAGGAAAGTATGGACGACGACGATGAAGAGGACGACAATATGAGCACCAATACGGATAATCAAGCCACCAATCAGTTTGCCTCTTCGCCCACTGAAAGCAACAATCATATCAATCCTAGCGTATCGATAGCATCGTTTAGCAATAGCGAGCTGAATGGTTCCAGTGAGGACCTGAGCTGCAACAGGGCGATTTCTCCCCCCGGTTTGCAGAACGGCGAAAAGTCGCCTAACCGATCGGTTACCAGTCGAGAGAGTGCAGAAATGCAATCGCCCCACCAGAGAATGACCAGCACTCCCGTCCAAGTAAGAGCTTTTACCAGTTAGTATTCGATGGATGCTCTCT